TCGTTCCGGGCTGTTCCCTCAACGCTTCACCAAGCTTTGAAGTACTCAACTCCCAAGGGGGTGGGCACAGTCTGAGGAGAGCAGAGGATGTCAAGGGAGTGCTATGCCTCAGCACTTAAAGGGTCGTCGGTATGTGCCCTTGAAAAACAAGCCGAACGTGCTGGAAAGCAAGACTTAGAAGTCGACCTACCCAAGAAAGGCAAAAGGGAGTTCTCTGCACCAACAGAGGAGCTCGAGCTTGTTCCTTTACTTAGTCCTGAGAAACAAGTAAGCATAGGAACCAAGCTGGGGGCTAGTGAGAGGGAAGAACTGATCAACTTCCTCAGGTCCAACTCGGATGTTTTTGCATGGTCCCACGAGAACATGCTTGACATAGACCCAATGATCATGGTGCATCGCCTCAACATAGATCCATCATTCCGACCTGTAAAGCAAAAGAGAAGACCTGTAAATAAGGAGAGAAGTGATGTAATTGTTGAGGAAGTAAACAAACTTTTAAAAGCTCAATATATAAGAGAAATTCTATATCTCGAGTGGCTCTCTAATGTTGTATTAGTGAAAAAATCCAACGGGAAGTGGAGAATGTGCGTAGACTTTACAAATTCAAATAAGGCATGCCCAAAAGACTGCTTCCCACTATCGAGGATCGACCAGCTTGTAAACACAACAACCGAGCACGGGCTGTTCATCTTCATGGATGCCTACTCCGGATACAACCAAATCAAAATGCATGTCCCAGATCAAGATCATACTGCATTCATAACAGACTTAGGTCTGTATTGCTATAAGGTTTGCCCTTCGGCTTGAAGAATGCGGGAGCGACCTACCAAAAAATGGTGAATAAAATGTTCGCCAAGCAGATCGGTCGGAATATGGAAGTGTATGTGGACGACATGCTTGTCAAGAGCAAGTAGTCAAAGTCGCATCTTTCCGATTTAATCGAAGCCTTCGGAGTGTTACGAAAGTATCAAATGAAGCTTAATCCAGCCAAGTGTGCCTTTGGAGTCTCCTCAGGTATGTTCCTTGGCTTCATGGTAAATAACCGTGGGATCGAAGCTAACCCAGAGAAGATAAAAGTCGTGCTCGAGATGGAAGCACCCAAAACTCTTAAGCAGCTTCAATGCCTCAATGGAAGGATTGCAGCCCTAAATAGATTCGTCTCGAGATCAACTGATAAGTGCCTTCCTTTCTTCAAAGTCTTGAGAAAGAAGGGACCATTTGAATGGACGAATGAGTGCGAGCAAGCCCTGGATCAATTGAAGACCTGTCTCTGCTCGGCACCACTGCTCGCCAAGCCTCTGCCGGGAGACAAGCTCCACTTGTATCTGGCGGTATCCGACAGTGCCGTTAGCTTGGCCCTAGTTAAGAAGAAGGGAGTGCACCAAATTCCAGTTTACTACACGAGTAAGGCCATGATTGAGGCCGAGACCAGGTACCCACAAATGGAAAAGCTGGCTCTCGCCTTGGTCACTTCGGCCCGAAAACTTAGGCCGTATTTCCAAGCACACCCCATCGTGGTGCTTACCAACTTACCCCTGAAAAACATCTTCCACAAGCTAGAAACATCAGGACGCCTGATGAAGTGGGCAATGGAGTTGAGCGAGTACGATATCCAATTCGGGCCTAGAACTGCGTTAAAGGGACAAGCAGTTGTAGACTTCATCGCAGAGCTCACCCTGCCATCTTTGCCCGCCGACTCCGACCTCCTGTGGACGATCTACGTAGATGGATCTTCTAACGAGAAAGGGTGTGGAGCGGGAATACTCTTGCTTGCACCAGATGGCATGCGATTCAAGTATGCCCTACGTTTCAACTTCTAGACTTCAAACAACAAGGCCGAGTATGAAGCGCTTCTGGCAGGACTCCGTGTTGCCAAAGGTCTGGGGGCCACCCATATTAAGGTCTTCAACGACTCCCAATTGGTGGTAAATCAAATCAAAGAGGAGTATCAAACAAAAGACTCCCGGATGGATAAGTACTTAAGTAAAGTTAGATCGTACCTCGCCTAGTTTAAAACTTACGAGGTAAGTCAAGTTCCGAGATCTGAGAATTCAAATGCAGATGCCCTGGCCAAATTGGCATCAGCATACGAGACCAACCTAGCAAAATCGGTCCCAGTCGAAATCTTGGATAACCCGTCAATTTTGGAACCGGACATGATGGACGTTGACATACCAGCACCCACATGGATGGATCCAATTGTGGAGTTCATTAAAGGAAACCCACCGCAAGACTCAAAAGAGCACAAGAAGATGGCGCGGAGAGCGGCTCGGTTCATACTCCGAGATGGAGCACTGTACCGACGAGGCTTCTCCCTGCCTGTCCTCAAGTGCGTAACTCCGGAAGAACGGAGTTACATCCTCAGAGAAGTTCATGAGTGTGTGGTAATCATTCCGGAGCCAGGTCATGGTCAGCTAAGGTAGTTCGGAAGGGGTATTATTGGCCCACCGTCGACCAAGATGCCAAGCAGTTTGTGAAAACTTGCGACAATTGCCAGCGCTTCGCAAACATTATCCATCAGCCTCCCGAACTGCTTACCCCCATCTCGGCCCCATGACCATTCGCACAGTGGGGAGTGGACATCATAGGTCCTTTTCCCCAGGGCAAAAGACAAACCAAGTTCGCAGTTGTCGCCGTGGACTACTTCACCAAGTGGGCCGATGGCGAGGCGCTCACCCACATCACAGAGTCCAGGGTCACGTCGTTCATTTGGATAAACATTGTATGCCATTTTGGTATACCGAACGTTGTCGTGACAGACAATGCGAAGCAGTTCGATAACGCAAAGTTCAAGGACTTTTGCAGGAAACTGAATATAAGCCATCTCAGTTCGTCCCTTGCCCATCCAAAGGCTAATGGGCAAGTCGAAGCAATAAACAAGATCATTAAGCGTGGACTTAAACTGAGGTTGGATTCAAGGAAAGGTAGATGGGCCGAGGAGCTACCCGAAGGGCTGTGGTCGTATCGAACCACCCCAAGAGAGTCAACCGGCGAAACTTCGTTCTCACTGGCCTTCGGCTCTGAAGCTGTTGTTCTAGTTGAGATCGACATGCCGACAGACAGGGTAGAGTAGTACGAACCAGTGAGAAACGAGGAAGAACTGCTCTTCAACCTTGACTTGCTATAAGAGAAGAGGGAAATGACTCAGCTGCGCTTCGTAGAGTATCAGAATAAAATGGCCAGACATTATAACGCCCGAGTTCAACCTCGGAGTTTTCAGGTCGGACATTTGGTTTTAAGGAAGATTCAGAGACACGTGGACATCCTTGACCCAAGTTGGGAGGGGCCGTTTAAAGTTAATAGCATCGTCCGACCAGGAAAGTACATACTGGCCGATCTGGAAGGAAACGTGCTTGTGCATCCATGGAACGTAGAGCACCTAAAGCGCTATTACCCTTGAAATGTCAAAATGGTCCCGAAGCTGGACTTGTAAAAATTTTCAAGAGGAGGAAGCTTTAATAAAACGGAGGAGTTATCTAACTTCATTACTCCAAAGTTCGATCAAAAATTAAATGCGGGCCAAGGACTCCCATAGGGCCTAAAACTGACAAGGTAATTGTCGCCAAGAGTAAAATCTTACGAAATTCAACCCTCTGAGCCTACGGGTTCGAGGTGCGATGTGAATATTAACTTGAACTTAAAATTCAATCCTTGGAACGTCAAAGTTAAAAATGCGATGTGGGAAGTTCAAGTAAATTTCAATATCATCCTTTGGGCTTCCGAGTTCGAGGAGAAATATTAAAGACCAATAAAGGAAACTCTCAAATTCGAACCTCCTTTAAAACAAATGTAAGTGAAAGGTGCAATGTGAAAAAGTTCCTCCCAAACTCTGTCCTTTAAACATTACAAGTTAGAGGTGCGAGGTAAAACTGTTCGTAAGTAATCGATTCTACGAAAGTGAGTTTAAAAGCTCAAGGGAATAGTAAGAGCTGAATGGAAATGGAGAAATGAAGATTTCATTAATAAAAGGACAGAGCCAAGGCTTGTATACCTTTTAGCTCTGCCCAAAGACTTGTACAAAAAAGAAAATATAATAATTGCAAAAAAGGAAGGGAGAAGAAGCATCAGCTACTCCCGAGATGAAAGGACAGCTCACCCTGGGAACCCAGAAGGTTTGACATCCTGCGACCCGCCCTGCTGCAAAGGGACTTCCTCTTGAGTGGTGCCGACCTCGACCTGCTCCTGACTAGGAGCATCTTCCTCTTCCAGATCGGAATAGTCAGAGTCCAACTCTCTGACGTACTTCTCCATCAGCGACTGGGGGCCTGGAGTGCTGTTAGGCCTAGAGGCCCATTTTTCAGCATACTTCTTCTTCAGATCGCTAAGGTTGATATGAAGATGAGACATGTCGGCAGCAATGCCCTTCATCAAGAATTTGAAGCCCGCGTCACTGAAGTTCTTGGTGAACCTATCAAAGTCTGGGTGTTGCCTGAACGCTGCTTCCAAGAGAGCTCCGTTGGTGAGGCGTTACTTCTCCTCATTGAGCTCGGTGGTAAGGCGGCCTATCAAAGCGTCATTCTCCTCAAGGATTTGAACCATGTCATCCTTCTCCTTCAGGAGCTGGAACTTCTCCTTCTCCAACCCCTTTGTGATGGCATGAGCAGCTCGAAGGTGGGCCTTGTGCTTTTTTCCTTCTCTTTTCAGCAGTTGACCATTGGCCTACACCTCGGCCTTCAAAGTCTCCACTTCGGAGCGAGCTTTCAGTAGCTCGCCATTCATTGTGGTGGCAGCCTCCAAGGCAGCAGAGGAATTCACACTCTCCCTAGCTGCCAAGATCTCCCTTCCATCCAGCTCGGCCTTCTTCATAACTGCCGAGTGAATGGAAGCAATGAACGCCTGTGAAGATAAAACACACAAGGGTTAGACCGAGCTACGAGTTGCGAAAAGAAAAGCAAGTTCGGAAGCAAATCTTACCTCAGCGGCGTGGTCAATGGACTGTTGCAGTACGGACCCATGGTCACTTACGAACTTGGACGCCCTTCTAAGGCAGCAGTCCAAGCATGCAGCCGAGATGCGGGACACTTGGTCCTTTACCCCGGAGCTCGACGGTTCCATTCTGAACCGCATCTTCACGTCGGATGTCCCCCTATCCGAGCTTCAGGGTCGTCCACCAAGTCAGCATGACTCGTAGGTAGGGGCCCACGAGGTCCAACCTCTGAGGAGGAGGTGGTTTTCTTCTTCTTCTTTCTCCTCTTCAGAGGAGTGTCTTCTCTCACCTCGCACAAAGGAGACATGTCCAGCGCCTCGGACTCATTCCTCGAATGCTTTTCTCTGGAACACTCCTCGACAGAGTCCAACTCGATCATCGGAGTTGGGGCTTCAACAGAGGGCCCAACTTTGTCTTGAGCCGCAGGTTGAGCGACAGCGGGAGTTGCTGGCTCTGTGCTCTGAATAGTCTTGAGGGCGTGAGCACGACCCTTAGACTTGCGCTTCACCTACAAAATAAACAAGCAAAAAGTTAGAAACCAAAATTAAAGGAATGGAAAGCAAGGTCAAGCTCGGCTTACCGAGCTTAGAGTTCGGTCTTGAGGCTTCGACAGGGCGTAATAAGGGGTTGTAATCTAACAACCCGGATTCGAGAAGCAGCTTGTCAGTCATCAAGGTTCCGATCTTCCTACCCCTTGGAAAGTGATCCTTATAATACTTAAGGGTATTGAAGGAGGCTCGAGTGAGCTCGGGAATTGGTTTGATCAACACTATGCAAGACAGAAGAGAATTAAAAATAGGTATGAGAAGCAAAGAAGCTATAACGTATAAAGCAACAAAAATAATTGTAATGACCTCGTACCTAAATTCCCGAACCTAACGGGAACGTCAAAGAAGGGACGACCAAACTCGTTCTTTGCCAGCCACTCTCCAGAGGCAAAGAACCACTTCCCCATCCATCCTTTGATGGAGGTCAGCCCTTTGACTGTACCACCCGCGCCCTTCCTTGCGCACATGTAGTACCGACATGGCTTCTTAGCTATCCTTTTAGCTTCAAAGCACCCTAGAAGCTGTTCAACATCTAACAGATCGACTTCGTCCTCTTCTCGAGCTCGTAGCCAAAAAAGGATGGCCAAAGCAAAAATGACACTCCATCCATTGGGGGCCACTTGAGCAGGAGCCAGTCCAGTTCGGTTTAAGAACTCTTTGGCAAAAGGGTGAAGGGGGAGTCTGAGGCCGTACTCAAACATCTTTAAGTAAAGAGTGACCCATCCCTCTGTAGGATTGTCAGCTCTTTCCCCTTCCTCCGGAATTCTAAAGATGATGTCATCCGGAATACTAAACCCCTTATGGAGGGCTCCAAGATAGTGCTCAGGCATTTTCGAAGGGTATTCCAAACCCTGGCCCGAGGTGGAAGTGTCGCTATATTCCCCATCATCAGAAAACCTAAAGTTCTCTACCTCTTCCAATTCGGACTCTAACCTACGAGCTAAATCCTCCCAGAGTCACTTGGCTGAGGGGGCGAACTGCTTATAGTCCGACATGCGCTACCTAGGCGAACTACTGGAGGGGGAGGACATGAAAACCACCATATTCGAAATAAAGAGTAAAACGAGAATGACTGACCTACGAGGGTTCGAGCTGATTTCAGATCGAACTCCAAAAATTCAGGGAGCGTAAGGTCTGACCTGGAGTCTCGGAACTATTTATAGCTAATCGGAAAAGCCTCTACGCCGTACAGTGTAATGAACGAGTGGCTAGGATCATCTCGAAATTCGTAACGACGAAATACTCGAGTGCTCCGACAGCCTGGCAGATCGGAACATCTTCCACAACGGTCATATTTTCTTTACAAATTAGAAGTCGCCACGTGTCCTAAATTGAATTAGGTAACTTCTCTGCCAAATCGAGATCGAACCTGACAGAGAGGGGGCCAATGTTTGGGGATAAAAATACCGTGGACACGTGGAGGACGCTTATTGGTGTTTAAAAATAAAAGAAGTATTCCAGGTCCACCTCGAACCTGCCGAGGAGACCGGATTTGCCCGTAAACAAGGCTAAGTGTAAAAAGCCCCGGTTCAACCTGGACGAGTTCGATATGCTCAAACCCGACAGGTTCGTCATAAAAAAGACAAAGGTAACCGCAGGTTGTGAGTACTATCGGACCCACCATCTATATATAGAGGGCCTCATTTCACGACTCAGGTATCGAATCTCACCTCGAACTTAATATTGAGTCTGACCTATACTGACTTGATTGTCGGAGAGTTTGCCCTCTTGTGCAGGTTCATTCCACGGTGCAAGTTGAGTAAAAGACCGGGTTCGAGCTCGGTTCGTGAGCACCGTTGTGCGATTCTTTGCATAAACATACAACATGGGGAAAAAATAAAAGGTAAAGCGTGAGCTAAATAAAAGAAAAGAAAAATAAAACAAAAAAATTTTGGTTTTGGGAAGCCATGGGTAGTGGGCACAGTGAGAAAACAATAGTACTTTGATTTTTCTGTGTTTGATTATGAGAGCAGTGCTCCATATTTATACAACAAAATCTCTTTGAATTAGGATGATAAAATATCTATAACAGAAACAAATACTATAGATGGCAACAACTAAACAGATAGCAACGATTACTCGCTAAATTTGTTGAAGAAAGATTATGCAGATTACTCAATAAGATTGTTGAAGGAAGATTCTATATTGAACGAGGTGGCGTTATACGTTTCACGTTTATCCTTGACACCCCCCCTCAAACGAGAGGTGAGGTCAACAAGCTCGAGTTTGGAGAGGTCAACAAGCCCGAGTTTGGAGAGCAAAAGACAAAGCTGCGAGTGAGTGAGAGGTTTCGTAAGACAGGCGGCTAGCTGACCTGTAGAACGGACATAACGAACCTCAAGGGACCCACGAAGCACTTGATCTCGAACAAAGTGCACGTCAATCTCTATGTGTTTAGTACGGCATGGAACACCGGATTGGCAGCCAAAGCTCTAACACTTAAATTATCGCACCATAGGATAGGAGTAGTAGGTGAAGGCACACCAATTTCACTTAGTAATTGGCAAAGCCAAATAATCTCTACTGAGGCATGAGCAAGGGCTCGGTACTTTGACTCCATGCAAGAACGAGCGACCGCTGTCTACTTTTTTTGGAAGACCAAGATACAAAAGTATGTCCAAGAAACACACAGTAGACTGCAACATATTTTCGATCATCAATATTCGATGCCCAATCGACATCTGAATAAGCTGAGATGGATAATAGGTCACTGGGTTGAATCAACTGTCTCATATTCTTAGTGCCACAAAGATATTGAAGCACACGTTTCACAGCCTACCAATGGACATTTTAAGAACTTGATGAGATGATTAACAATATAGGAAATGTTTGACCGAGTATTAGTTAAGTACTGTAAGGCACCAATAGTGCTACGATACACAAACAAATCTCCAATGGATGACCATCTGAGATATGAGATAGAAATTTGTTTGCCAATTACTGACAGAGATGGTGCAAGTTTCAAATTGGGTAAACCTATTTGTGAAGCAAGTCATCGACATACTTGGACTGACTTAAAACAACTCCAGAGGTTGTGGAAGTAACTTGAATACCCAAAAATAATTTAACAATCCAAGATCCTTCAATGCAAATTTAGAGTCCAAAGTAGTAATCGAGCGTGTAATTAAGGAAGAATCATTGTCAGTCACAATCACATCATCAACATACACAAGTAAGAGAACCAGAGAAATACCATGCCAATAAACAAACAAAGAACTGTCAGATTTGGAATTAACAAAACCCCACGAGAGCAAAGTAGATTTAGCATTCCATTCCATGCTTGCGATGCTTGTTTCAGTCTATAAATTGCTTTATCGTGTTTACACACAAAGTCTAGAAATTTAGGATCCACATGACCCGGTAGCTATGTTGCATGTATACATCTTCACCAAATGTACCATTGAAAAAAGCATTGTTAAAGTCCAATTCATGGAGAACCCAACCACTCGACACCGCCAGTGTACGAACTATGTGAATAGTTGATGCCTTAACTACCAGACTGAATATCTCAAACAAATCAATGCCTATATTCTGATGAAACCTCTTTGCGACCAAACGCGCTTTATAGCGCTGAATCGAACCATCAGAGTTTCGTTTAATACGAAGAATTCACTTGTTCCCAACAACATTCATGGAAGGGGAGAACGAAACAAGATGCCAGGTACAGTTCTTTACCAATGCATCAAACTCAAGATCCATGGCGTCCTTCCACTGTGGTGTAGCCAAGGTATCCTACAGTCGAGTAGGCTTTCTAAGCAACCAATCTGTAGCAGTGGTAGAGACCCATGCTTTTGGCTTAAACACCCCCGCCTTGGCTCTTGTAATCATATGGTGAGTGTTCTATACAGGGGTCGATACATGTTGGGAAGTAGGTTGGGACAACTCAAGTGTGGAAGAACCAATTGGAGAATAAAAGGAAGATTGATTTTGGGATAGCGTAGGAGAAGTTCGTTCAAAAGGACGTGAGATGTCTGCTGGTGGGGAAGCTACATGAGGAGATAAATTTAAGCTAGGTGAGGTGGGTGGTTGTGGAGATGACACATGAAGAGACAAATTTTGAGTTGGGCTATGTATCGTGGAGAGGACAAGACATGGGGTTGGTATAATGGGCTGGTCATGTGCCAACATAGTGGAGTAAGTAGGTAATTGGTGAGGAATCAAGTTGGGAAACCATGTAGCAAGTGAAGGAGCTTGTGTAACCGAATGAAAGCCAGTGACAGAGGCCCCAAATCCAGTCGCAAAAGGAAATTCATCCTCGTTGAAACGGACATGCCGGGAGATAAAATTCTACCAGATAATTGAGACATTTATGGCCTTTGTGAACCGGGCTTGGACCAAGATACACACATTTTTCATAATGGAATTGAAATTTATGCACATGATAGGGACATAGACATGGATAGAAGAACAGCCAAACGTCTTAAGACCAGAAAAATTGAACCTTGTATTAAGCAGTAACTCCATAGGAGATTTACCATGTATCACTGTAGATGGAAGGCCATTAATGAGCAGCATAGAGGTAAAAAATGCATCCCACCAGTAGCGTAATGACATGGAAGCTTGGGCAAGCAATGTAAGACCGGTCACAACAGTTTGATGATGTCTTCGCTTTGCCCAACCATTCTGTGTAA